AAAAAAAAATCTAAATTTTATGCATCTAAGTATATAAACGGAGCTTTGGTGGCATAGTGGTTAAGAGCTATGGCTGCTAACCAAAAGGTCAGCAGTTCGAATCCACCAGTCGCTCCTTGGAACCTTGTGCGGCAGTTCTGCTCTGCCCTGTAGGGTCATTATGAGTTCGAACGGATTTGACGGCAACAAGTTTGGCTTGTTTTTTAAGTATATAAATTTCCTTGAAAAATGTTCGGCCAAAGATTATTTTCATGAAGGTCTCCCTCCAGCCCACTCCTCCTTCTCCACACCCCCTGGTACTGTGGACACGGTAAGTAACATGGGCTCTGGTACCCACTTGCTGTGTGGCTTCAGACAAACTGTTTAACCTCTCTGGGCCTTAGTTTCTTCATCTGCGAAACTGAAAGCACTATGTAAATGTTCAGTGCTGTATGCACCCCCAAACTCCAGGCAGCTCCCCATGACCATGTCTTCCGGGGAATCCGAGCCCCAAGGCCTGGTCGAGCTTCCCCACCACTCACGTGATCACGACGGGTGCCACCTTATTGGGGATGATGGACTTGGCCTTGCTGTTGTGCAAGCCCGTGGTCTGGAAGGAGTGGACGCTGACTGAGTGCCGCCCGTCCATTGTGCCACCGCCCTGAAGGCCCTCAAAGGGGGCGCCCGCTGAGACCATCTGCTGGGCAGTGCTGGCCGTTGTACCCATAGTCTGCCAGCAGCCTCAGGACCCAAGACCTGCAGGGTGAGAGGGCGTGCAGTGAAGAAGGTGCTGGAAAACGCCACAGCAGGAGAGGCCCTAGCTTACCCCTCTCCCTCACCCTACAGATGCAAAGTCTGCACCTCAGACGGTGGCAGCATGCACTGCAGCTGGAGACAGAAGGCAGGTTTGCGGCCACGGTCGCTGGGTGCCAACTGTGTGCCTGGCGCTTTGCTGATGCTTCCAGGGAGGAATGGACATAAACAGACATAAAGACACAGCCCCAGCCTCTTAGAGTTTACACTTGTCTTGCAAAGGTAAGGCAGTGAGGAAAGGACTGACCACCCACAGCTGGCTGGTACCTGGAGTTCTAAGTGAACCAGAGGAAGGTTCAAACACTCAAAGCAAGACTTACTGTGCACTCAAGACACAAAAGCTACTGTGCTGATTGTAACAATGAATAAGGCACAGTCTCCCACAGCTCACGATCTGGTGTTTGATCCTCTTTACAAAAGAAAGGCCGTGAGGAAAGGCAGGGTGGTGGAATGGGTAGAGCATCTAAGAATGTAAGCTTCAGGCAGTACAGAGGCCAGGCTTGGGGGCTGGGAGAAGTCACCAAGGCGGGAACCAAGGGCAGATACAAAGAGGGTGTCAGACTTGGACTTGAGGGATGAGGATGAGAACAGGATGCAGGAGGATGCTGTCACCACGAACGGCACAAGATGAGGCCAGGGAAGTCCAGACCAGGTAAGCGAGTTAGCTGGGGCGCTCTCAGCAGATCAAGGGTTCAGAGAAAACATGAAGCCCCTGAACGGGCCATCAAACGCCGGATGCTCCCGCCCACGTGAAGAATGCCAGGCATCCTCATCCTCCCGACAGTTCCTCTCCGAGGAATCCCCCCTAAGGAAATACTTAAGGATGTGTGCAGAGTGGCCTACAGGGTGTTCTGTGGATGCGGGTGTTGTTTATGAGAACGAAGCACTGGAAATGACCTCCATGGCCAACCACAGGGCTGTGCTGAATAAATTACAGGCCATTTCTAAGGTGAAATGTTACACGGCCATTAAAAACATCATACTGACTGACATGGGAAGACATCTAGGAAACAGAAAATGGAAGAAGCAGGTTGCAAAGCAAGTACCTGCAACAATCCCACTTGAATTCATTAAAAAGCATCTGGAGAAAAGTCCATAGGACATACACCAAGATGCTAACTAACGTAAAGTACCTCCAAGTGATGCAATCATAGCCCATTTTTATTGACTCCTTTTTGCTCATCTGTGTTTTCTGATTTTTCTCCTCTGAACACTGTGTAATAAAGTTAAAAACTATTAAAACAAATAAAAGAATGGTTGGGGAAGAGGGCCAGGATACGTTTTAAAAGCTGGTGGAGGGTGTGGGGAAAGCTGGGGCTGCTGAGAAGGGCAGTGGCTGGGAATTCCACACAGACCAAGCAGAAGGTGAGAGACCCAGGAGACGGAGAAGCTCACAGAACTTTCTGGGAGCTCAGCAGCCACTGGTGCCGTTCAGTATCGATGGGCCAGGAGCGGGAGCGAGAGGGAGCAATCTGCTCTGCCCGATCCCGCAACTCTACCTGCACCCACGTCCCACTCTGCAGAAACACACAGACAACAAGCAGCCTTAGAACAAAACGGTGCACCAGACAGGCGTGAGCTGCTCCACATCGGTGGGGACTTTCTTCCCCCAACAATCCACACTCCCACACCCCCTCTCACAACTAGCCGCAGCACCCCAGGAAGTAGACAGGGGAGTCAAGCGGTCAGCATGAAGCCAGCGTCTCCATCTCTCCCCCCAACCCTGAATCAGAGCTCCCGAAACCCAGGCAGGTGCTCCCAGGCCTCAGGGTCCTCTCCCCCAGAGCCAGCTCCTGCCCCGGGCACCCCAGCCAGAGCCTTTCCAGACCACCACCTGTCCCTCTCCAGTCTGGAAAGGGCTTCCTCTCTCCTGCCCTGCTTTGACATCCCTGAAAACTCCCAGCAGCCAGCCTGACAGCTTCACTAACACACACACACCCCTTGTGTTTACAAGACCCCAATTCCACCATTCTCCACACACTGTCCAGTTTCTCTCTTTTGGCTGAAAGTGAAGGGAATGAGCCTCTATGTTCCCAAACAGAAACACAGGCCACTCAGAGAGGGACAGGGGCTCCACACTAGACCCTCAGCCGGCCGACAGCAGAGCCAGAACTTTCTCTCCACTTCGCCTGCCTGGGCAGGCCCCAAACACCCACTCACCAAGGTTTCCCAGACCCTTCCCAGCAGCCCGGGCCAACAAGTCCTGTGTGGGAACAGCCTCTGAGGAGGGGGGCACTGGGGGCTCTCCCAAGGAAAGGCGTGATGGAGGGGACATAGGAAAGGCCTGCAGGATGCAACGGCTGGCCACAGCTGCGAGGCCAAGGCCAGGCCCGGGACGTGCCCCCAAAGGGCTGGGCTGGGCCTGACACCTCGGCCTCTCCTCCCCATTGTGTCCCCTATAACTCCAGCTCCAGCCACCCTGCCTCTCACAGCTCCACAGGGAATGACAGCCCCATCTGGTGTCCTGTAAGACAATACAGACGTGCACAGCTGCGGGCTGCAGGGGCAGAGAAGAGCAGCTAGGGTGGGGGAGAGACAGCAATGCTTTGAAAACTGAGCTCTCCTCCAAAATATGTAGGGAGGGGCACAGCCCCACTGACCCCAGGCCCCTCACTCTGTGCCTCTCACTCAAAATGTCTCTCAACTCCACCCAAAGTGAGCCTCACCACTCAAGGGCCTTCACCCTGCTGACTGCATGCTGTGGGGCTGTGGGGAATTTCCTTCCCCTCTCTGGGCCTCAGCATCCCCAGCTGTAAAATGACAGTGTGGGATGGACGGTCTGAATGCGCCTTCCAGCTTCAAGTGGATCCGGAGCCTAAGACTGGCAGTCCTCATGGCCACCCCCTGCTGTCCACCACCAAGGGACAGTGGTCAGCAAGGACAGGGGTGTGGGTGGGGTCCCTAGTGTTCACACCTCTGCTGGGGGGATACTGTGGCTAGAAGTGGGGATGGGGGTAAGAGGAGACTATGAGACAAGGTATTCATGAGCTTGCGTGGGTAAACAATTATGCCTTTATTTTCCTAAATTCTAAGGAAAATCAGCGTTTCCTCTCCATTACGAGCGAAGGCAGCCCCAGGAGTGTCATAGAACTCCCTGGGAACAGCGGCAGTCACCAGGCCCACGCTGGACCACACATACTCACTGGCTCCTGTCCACAGACACTGGTGTGACAGAACTGGCCAGCTGTGCCTGGAGGTCATTCAGCCCCCAGACGATGGAATCCGGGTTCTCACAATTAAGTTTAACTTAACAAACTTGGAGAATTCTGGTGACCCTAGAGAGAAGCCGATCTTGCCTTATAAAGCGAGCTATGAGGAAGCTGTCATTCCATCTGCAAATTGGGATGTTCAACACTTGGAACCATCAAAACAAAAAATCCCAATGGCCTAGGATGTCCAACATGACCTCCGTGTGCCTTGTCTAAGACCTGTTCCATCTGATGTTCTTATTTAGGCATGGCAACAACAGCTTCATCACAGACATGTCTTTAAAAAACAAAATTTAACTTTAATTTGCCTAACGGATTATCTTGTTAATGCAGTAATCACTAAGGATATACATTACTATATCACATTATTGTTACTGGTTGCTGTCGAGTCGATTCCAACTCATGACAAACCTATGTGTTACAGCATAGAACTGCTCCATAGGGTTTTTTCTTGGCTATAATTTTTTTTTTTTTTCTAACACATGTTGTTTTTTGACATTGGTTAACAACCCCACAACATATCAACCCTCTAACTTCTCAACCTTTTTTTTTTTTTGGTGAAAATACACATAATGGCTATAATTTTTTTTAATGTAATTTTATTAATTTTGTTGCTGTTGCTGAGAATATACACAGCAAAACACACACCAATTCGACAGTTTCTATACGTACCGTTTAGCGACACTGATTACATTCTTCGAGTTGTGTAACCATTCTCACCCTCCTTTTCTGAGTTGTTCCTCCTTGTTTCTGAGTTGGTTTAAGATTTAAAGATTATCTCAGGGCAATAGTTTCAGGGGTTCATCCTACCTTCATAATTCCAGGAACTGGCTATAATCTTAATGGAAGCAGATTGCCAGGCCTTTTCTTCCACAGTACTGCTGGGTGGGTTTGAACTGCCAATCTTTAGGCTAGCAGCTGAGTGTAAACCGTTTGAGCCATCAGGGACTATCAATCTGCTTTTTAGCATTTTGATAGCTCTCAATAAAATGTATTTCCTTTGTAGTTCCATATAGTTTACTTTATGCATTTAAAAACATTATTCTGGGAAAGGGTCCATGGGCTTCTGCTAGATTGCTAGAAGGGTCCCTGGCCCACAAAAAAGGAAAACCCCTGCTTTAAGGGAAAAGCATTCCCCACCAAACACAGGCAGCTCCCACCTTTTCCTTTGCTTCTGTTTATTAACATTTCGAACCAGCACTAAGTGGCAGGCACCATGCTAAGTGCTTTATGTCATATCATCCCCCAGCGACCCTGTAAGTTCGAGCCTTTCTGTGTCCATTTTTCAGATAAATGCAGCTGGCCTTTGGCAGGTGGCAGCAGGTGATAACTGCTCCTCGTTCATTTGTCTTCCTGCCTCTTCACAGCCGACCCTGGCAGCAAGAACACCTCACCACACTGCCCTATCCCTGTTGGATCTGTATGACCCCTACTCAGAGTCCTTGGACCCCCATCACTCCACTCATTGCCAGGATACCACAGACACCCCTGCTAGAGGCAGACACGGGTTTCCTCTGACTTTTATTTCAGTGGAGAGAGGGGGACACCATGCCCCATTTTACCCACAGAAGTGCTAGGTGATCAGCTAAGAATCCACAGAATCACCTAGGCACGGCTACAATGGCATCTGAGAAAATCCCGCACACAGACATGCCTCCGACGGCCAGTCCCCAAAGGAAAGGAGCTGCCCTGTGAAATTCTTGGC